ATGACCTTAAAACCCGATTGATGAGTACCACAAAAGAGTTTAAAGAAGTCCTTACCATGCGAACAGAGGTATGTTATGATATTGATGCACTTAGGTGTGTCAATCGGAAAAAAGTGGTGTTTTTATTTTAATGTTATTTTATTTTATTTTGGTGCTTTTTTGAACTTATTCGCATTTTACATCTTCGCTGCTTTGACTAATGATTTAGTCTTACTGTATTATGAAGAACTTGAAGGTACATGAGAATAGAAGACAGTTGTTTTCTTCCACTGCTTCTAAGGAAGCTGCAAATCCTTTTGTTCGTCAACGTCCCTTGGCTGCAAAGTCAGCTGCCAATGCCCCTGCACCCCCATGGGCCAGTGGGTCAGCATCTTCATCTCAGTTGTTTCCAAAGTAAGTTACGCCTATTTATTGATTATTGATTGGCTGTAGTTACAAATACGTCTGTATGTTTTCTTTGTTAGCTTTCGGCTATGCATTTGAGTAAGAATATTGAATTGCTATGTTTTTCCATTGCAATTTTTTTGGGACATCTCAGATCTAATGGAAATGCACAAATTGGCTTGTTCATTGGCATGCTCTCAGATCAGCCTGTTATTAATATTATTTTCTTGAAAAAAATCACAGGAAGCAAGTGGATGGGGAGAGTCAACCGTTGCTGCTGCAGCAGCAGCAGCAGCAACAAATGGTTCCATTGCAGGACACATATATGCAGAGCAGAGCCGAAGCTCTTCAGAATGTTGAGTCCACTATTCATGAGTTGAGCAGCATTTTTAATCAATTGGCTACACTTGTCTCCCAGCAAGGGGAGATTGCCATCAGGTTTTTACTCACCTCACTAGTGCGCTGTATAAATATCTGCTTTTTTTTTTTTTTTTAATCTCTTTATTTTCCTGTATGATATGCAAACTGGGATACTATAATGTTTAATGTCACTTGAATATTAAGTAATTATTCGCATTAGGGAATGAGGCTAAGCCCTATTAAGTGAACTTGGATGCAAGCTGCATTGTATGTAGATTGCCTTGGCGTCTTTGTAAATTTCTGGGCTTTGAGAGAAGTATAGCTTAATAATGTAGTTGCTGAGAGAGATAATTGAAATTTTACAGCTTAGTGCGTATTGATTATTAGGTCCTTTGTCTTGCTGTATGAATGTCTTGTTTTACGAATTTCTTAGTAAACCGTTGGTAACTTTTAAGTAATATTTGTTTTAGTACCAAGAAAATGGAAGGTATTCTTAAAATCTCATTACTGTTGCAATTCCAAGGGACTTACTTCATACGTATCCTACGATTGGATGGGAAAGTTTAAACAAGTGATATGTGAAATCACTATAGGCAACTCTAACTCGCATATGACTGCTGGAAGAGTTCAGGGGACCGGAGTGTCTTGGCTGGTACTGATCAGGGAACTGGTCTGGTTCTATTATGAGACTGTTTTTGTTTTGTTGTTGAAGTGTTGATCATGTTAGTTTGACCAGATTGGGCAGGTCCCCCGGGGGGTTTTTAGTGTATATTTAATTAGTCTATAGCTTATCGTAGTAATTTTTTAATACCACCTTATATCTATATATTAACTCACCAAAACAAAATATACAACTTAACTATTTTCATTTTAATTATATTTACTAATGGCTAATTGCTTCAACTTTGCTTGGTAATTGAACTAGAGATCCATGGGCTGTTCTCAACATACTGCTTGATCTACTCTTCTCATTGGTACATTGAACATGTTCGAACCACCTCAAACAACTTTCTATCATTTTTCTTCAATAAATGCTACAACGCTTTCCCATATATGCTCATTATGAATCTTATCTTTTCTTGTATTGTATGATTACACATTCATCTCAACATTTTTGTCTCGGCCACGCCCATTTTATGTTCATGTCATCCTTTCAAAGGTCAACATTCACTACCATTAGTATTATTGGTCTTATAACAATGTGATAAAACCTCTCTTTTATCTTATTAGCCACTTTTTGATCACAAATAACTCCGATAGCCCTTCTCTCCTTAAACCACCTAGTTTGAATTATATGATTAACATTTCCATCAATTTTACCATCTTTTTGTATAATTGATCCTAAATATATGAACTTTATTGCTTGTGGAACGGTTTGATCTTCCATTTTAACCTTCAAAATTTCAAACCACTTCTAACTAATAATTTTATCCCAATTAATTAGTTCTTGGGATTTTGTTGACTGCATTATTTTGTCAATTTTTTCCCATTTGTTTGATCGAACCCTGACGACAATCTTGAGAAGGCAGCGATATCGCAGCTGTTTTATCTCCTGTAAACCTTCATGATATTGATGCGCATGATTCCTAAAAGGGGGAAATCCTATCCTACTGTCATTTTTCTTTTGACTGACTATCGATGGTTGCATATGTGTTCTTTTATTTGATTGCTAGCCGTTTGAATTTGTTATCGTTTGCATGATTTATTTATTCGTTTATTTTAAATCTGGCATTTGTATTTAGACTAAGGGTTTAAGGTCCTTAATTACAGGATTGATGAGAACATGGACGATACGTTGGCAAATGTAGAAGGGGCACAGGGGGCTTTGCTAAAATATCTGAACAGTATATCTTCTAATAGGTGGCTGATGATCAAGATATTCTTTGTATTAATATTTTTTCTCATGGTTTTCCTATTTTTTGTGGCATAGTCATCCTAAAGATACAAGAGAAAATGAAGACACAGGCGACGACCTTCTTATTGGTGATGAGTCTTCTGCATTTCATTAATATTTCTTCCTTGATATTTACATCCATGCCTGCAGAGTTTTAATTCCCCCCCCCCTCCGGGATCTGTGAAATTTGATGCCTGTATGTATTGATTTATGTAACAAGGTTACCAAGTAGAAGAATTGCGCATAATCTGTGTTCATTTGCGATTTTGTAATTATTTTATTGATAAAGTTTATTGGCAATATTCGTACCCACACCTGGAAACATGGGAAAAAACAAACTGATTATAGAAGTGGTTAATAATTATGAGTTAAATACAAGAGAAGTTAATTGAGGGATGGATTTTCTGTGGCTAAATTTGAGACTTTTATATCTTTAGCACTGGTAATTTGGTTCAATTCAGTGTTCATCTTATTGGAAGGTGCGAAGGTTGTGCAACGTATATAAGAATATGTGTAACATAAATAAGCTATGAATTGCTCATGGGTTAGCTAATTATGAGTTGTAAGACAGTTTTGTTTTGTTTTTGGTAATATGGAAAATTGTAAGATGATGGAATGGCCGATTCTGTACCTATTTGCTTGCGTTTGCATTTCTTGACTCGATTCCGGCTACGGAGAATGTAAATTTTGCGATCCAGTGAAAGCATCCTACAGAATCATCTCAATTAGTATTGTGAAGCTGCTATTAACATCAGCAAGGTATATTATGCATCTCAGTTGGTTCGGGATTGCATTAGTAGCTACAAAGACTTCAAGGGGGAAGCGCCCTTGCTGCTGAAATATAGGCGTGCTTGGTGGGGGTTAAAACGAGCTTGGGACAGTGGCACAAGGAAACTTGTTCTGAGGAATGATTCTGTCAAAGCAATCAACACAATTCGGAGCGACAATCCGGAGTCCCAATCTGACCGGCGCGTCATAGCTGAAGTTCAGCATATGTTTGGAAGGGCATGGCAGGTTGATCTGGAAATAGTAGACGGCAGACACCCGGGCGAAACAAGCACTCCGAGACACGACTTGACTGCAAGTCTTCCATCCTGGAGCACTAGGAGAGATGCTTCACTAGGACCTAGGAGACTAATCTTTCTCTCAGCCTTGCTTCTTGTCTTCTCGCCTTACTCTTACCTTTATATTAAAAAAAAAAAAATAGTGATCTTGATTGGTGGCGGACTCAAACGTTAGCTCTTATATCCTCTCTATTTAAATCAAGTTTGAGCCATCAAGTGAGCTTACAATCTAACAAACTCTGACGGTTTTTTCGAGAAGAGAAACAGAGATGAAGGATGACAGTAACATCAAATCATTTTTTTTTTATACAAGAAAATTTAAGTGAGTTGGTTCCTGTAAACTCACTAGGATCAAAGTTTACTTAATAAATCAACTCTTTTTCGTAACATCAAATCAAATTGCAATATCAAACATTGCTCGAGACTTTATCCTGGCTATAGGGCCTAGATTTCTACTAGTCTTGGATTGCATTCTTGTTTATGCAATACTTTCACTCAATTAACGGGATATATGGCAGAGGAGAACTTTTTTCAGATAATATGTAATTTTAGAGAAATTATAGTGATTTTCATGCATTTGAATTCCCCTCCCCCCTACAATTCATGTATTTGAATTTGATAGAAACCAAACAAGGTGCAGTTTTTATATTATTATAAGAAATTCTATGTCGAATTACCTTTTATGCATTTGTAATTTATTAATTAGTTAATTAATGATTAAATATGCATGATTATTGGCAAAAAAATAAATTAATATACATAATTAATATAAAATATAAACATCCTGACAAGTCATAACATTTACAAATGGTAATCGACTTATTCTGCAGGCTTTGTGGAATATATTAGTAATATATCTAATAATCATAATTAATATGAAAAATACGTTGGCAAAAAAATTAATATGAAAAATAAAATTTTTAAGGCTGAAGAGCCGAAATTACCATATAAATGTTAAATAAAACTTTTAAAATGTTTAACTGAATTAAGCTTCGGCCAAAAAACAAACCTGAATTAAGCGCGCTAAATTCAGCCTAGGGAGATGCGTGAAAGAGGCTGTTTTTTGGCCCACAAGCCCGTCAAATTCAGTCTGGGGAGGTCAGGGAAAGAGTTTTTCATTTTTTTGGACCAAAATCGAAAGAGGGTTGATAAATGTTAAAAATAAAAAAAAGAAAGAAAGAAAGAAAGAAAATTTACATCCACCGGGTTATATTTAGCCTCCCAATTTTTCTTTTTTTGAAAAAAATCCCTGACCTCTTCTATATAACCTTTCTTCCGTGTGTTCTTTGTCATCGTCCATTATAACCCTAGTTCTCAGAAACGGAAGGCCTAGCACCGTTGCTCCGTCGCCTGTGGCTCACTCATTCTCTTCAGTCGCCACCGTTATAAGAGATAATTGAACCTATCTTGCATCTCCAACTTGTTCCGCGCATCCCTCTGAATTTGTCAGCCGTAGCCCTGATCCGAATTAGTTTCTATCGGGAATATTACCTGTCGCTGAATATCAGATCTATAAGAGCCCTTAATAAAAAGAATTGGCATTATTTTTAGTGCTAAAGAAGCTTTTCAGATTTTCATAGCATATTAGCATTTCCGATTTGGTTGTTTGATCTTATTTCGGCAAAATACATTACTTTCAGGAATTTTTTTCCCCCATCTCCAACGACGACTCTGGAGATTACCGCGATAAGTTTGAACTCTGGACCTCCTATTTTCAAGAGTTATACGTATCTCTTACTATTTTGGGCAATTTTTCATCAGTGTGCTTGTGGTTGATCTGTCTATATAGACAAATGGTGGGAGGCGGAAGCAGGAGAGACGAAGGTTCGTTGATGATAAAAAACACAAACGTCTTTGCTGCACTCGATACTCTTAAAAAGAAGAAGAAATCCGATAAGGAGCACAAGAGCAAAGGGTCGTCTAAATCTCAGGTTCAATCTAAGGAACATGACCCTCAGGTGTTCTGGGCTCCCACTCCACTGAATGCGAAATCTTGGGCCGATGTTGATGACGACGACGACGACTACTATTCCACCACTGCCCCGCTTCAGTCTGTCTGGGGCGTTTCTGAGCCACAGCAGAGTGAGGAGAAACCAAGCATTTTGGAGGTTGGATTTTATTGTTTTTATCACCGTTCATGATGTCACCGTAGTTTGAATGTGACGCTCTTTGTTATTAAAGTTGTGATTGAGTGACATTCTTGTTTGCGGGACTGATGCGGTTCCTATTTAGTTAACTTCACTAAACCTTTAAAATGTAGATGATTGATTCTTTCTATCAAAATATGATTCATTCCTTTTGTTGTCATTATTTGTCTCAAGTCTCTTTTTAAATGCTTTGGAGATATTATACGTTATCATGGTGTATAGTTATATCAATGAAGCCTTTGTTTGACAATACATGATGAAAGCAAGAGTAGATGTTAGGGGTTTTATTACACTGTTGCTTGTCAAACGGGGCATAGTTTTGGCGAATATGAGCCCGTCAACATGATTGAATGGGCCAATTCCTTTTTATGGCTTGAGTGCATGAGAGGCTTTGGGAGCTTAGATACAAATGTAATGAAGTGGGGAATGGTTGGAAAATTCAAACGATTTTGAGCATTATAAGTATGGAAATTGATTCCATATGAATCAACTTTAATTATCGTTTTGTTGGCAAAAAAATAATTAACTTTTGATTTTATGTATTGTGTATATCTGAAGTTAGATGTTGAATCCTGCAAAGGAGTTACGTCCATTATGTGGCATGGGGAAGAAGTAAAATTGAGTTTGTCTTCCTACACATACTGGGACTTTACGATGCTTGTGTTTTTTTTTTTGGGAGTTGCTGTCTGTTACAAATAAGTTGTGCTATATCTTGGACAAAGTGGAAAATTTTCTTTTTGAGCACCTATGGACTTGCCTTGTTTCTATGGCGTGGATAAATATGATCCCTTGAATAACAAAAATAAGCTTAGAAGTGACCCGACTCTAACTGTTTAAACTAGCTCAAAGCTCATGTGGGTGATGGGCAGAAAATTAATTGTTAATTTGTTTGCTTGTTATCAACTAATCGGTTAAATTGGCTGGAAAATGTCTTGCATAAGTGTGGATTTGATACTCTTTTAATTCATTTATGATTTCAGGATAGTGAGAGTGAGGAAGATATTTTAGGTGAAGGGGATGATGATGCGGAGGAAGAGCACGATCATGAGCCAGAACAGTCCTTGAACCCTGAACCTGAGGTTAGGAAGCCTACTCAAGTTTCTGTGGCACCAAAGGAGGCAGAACGACAACTTTCCAAAAAAGAAAGGAAGAAAAAGGAACTTGCAGAGCTTGAGGCTCTTCTGGCTGATTTTGGAGTTGCGCAAAAAGAAAGCAGTAGTCAAAATGATTCGCAAGGTAACCATGACAAACTTGCGACATAGTGTATATTTCAGGGAATATTTTGTAAATATTTATGGTATGCTTTCTTTACTTATGCATCTTCCGCATGCAAATATAATATTTTTGGTCGAAGCTTCCCCCTTATTCTATATTTTTTTTAAAGCCTATTAGGGTTTTTATTCAGCCAGAAATTATTTTTCTATTAAAACTTTTGTGGAAGAAAAGAGAATATGAATGTCAAAGAAGCTAACAGCAGAATTCTGCTCAAGCAACATATATCAAATTGCATTTGCAGGTGCCCCACAAAGTAATGAAGATGCTGAGGCTGTTGGAGATGGAGAGAAGAAGGAAAATTGCACTGCGGAGTCAAAGAGTGCCAAGAAGAAGAAAAAGAAGGATAAAGCCTCCAAGGAGGTGAAAGAATCTCAGGATCATCTCGACGGGGCAGATACAAATAATGTGCCTGACGAGGCTGCTGGCGCAGAAAATGCTGGGGATGATAAGTCCACTGTTGATGTTAAAGAGCGTCTCAAGAAAGTTGCTTCTGCAAAGAAGAAGAAATCTAACAAAGAAATGGATGGTGCTGCAAGAGCTGCAGCTCAAGAGGCTGCCGCAAGGAGCGCAAGGCTTGCTGCCGCTAAGAAAAAAGAGAAGAGCCATTATAATCAGCAACCAGTGCGGTAAAAGAAACCCGTTTGTTAACATTGATACAGGAATGTGTATTGTTGTTCATACCATGATGCCGAATAAACAACGGGCTCCTTGCGCTTGTTTGACTTGCATTCATATTGCCATGGACTTGAGAAGTATTCCTCTGTTTTTTCCCCTCTCTTGAAACTTCCAGTTATTAACTGTTACGGACATGCCTTCCTGCCAAAGATGTAGTCGAACTTCATAGCTGTGTATCTTTAGTTCGTTTATCCTCATGACTGATCACCTCTTGGTGTTCTGCGTTATAAGAGGAGTTGTGCTGTAGACCTTGTAAATTCTCCCAATCTTTTAGACCGTGTTGATGTGGTGTTGGATTAGAAGAGCGGTGTGATGCGCATACGTAGCCAAGGCTGCTGTCGAACCATTGTTCTTAATTTGGTGAGCATCCAACGCCAAGCTGCATGAATCGGTATGGAGGAGAGGATGAAAGATGCTCCGTTTGAGTCGGCATAGAGGCTTGAGGAAGAAAACAGAGGCCCGACGACACACTGTGGAGTATGGAAGTGACCGGTGCCAGAGAAGATTAAATTATTCCTTCTTAAACATAGCCTGCGTGATTCGTCCTGCTGAAGCATGAATAACAGTAGCCAAATCCCTCGAGTGCAACGTAAAAGGTGACGGGGGATCACATTCTGAATGTGTGTGAAGTACGGTGGTTATGATTCACACGACCATAACTTGGGACTTTTTTAAGCAAGATAATGATCGTCAAAAGCTCCAAAATATGAAAATACTCGATAAGATTCCATTTTGGAAAGAAAAAAAAAATGCCAATGGACAACCAAGGTAATTTAATTTGGCATTTTTGTCGTGATGATTCTTAGCTTTTAAAGGATGAGAGCTAGAGCTGGGAATGCGGGCTGACGGTGCGGATACGGGCCAGCCCGCAGCGGTGCGGGCTGAAGTAGCCCGCACTTTGGCGGGCTGGCATTTTGCCAGCCCGAGCCCGCCAAGGCGGGCTGGCGGGCTAGCCCGCCGGCCCGCCTAAGTTTTTTTTTTTTAAAAAATATTATTATTTATATAAGTTTGAGCTTAGTTTGTAATGTTAAAATTGGACTTGGAGTTTTAAACTTGAGTAATGAGTTATAATAAAATAATGTGAGGATTAATTTATAATTTGAGAATATATTTTAGAAAAACTAACACATATTTTTTTTCTAAATAATTAATTTGACTATTTTTCTTATCCAAATTAATTAAGTAGATCTTTTATGTATGTATTACATATGCAATTACATGGATGAGAAGATGTAAATATGAAATTTGGGGGTTAAAATCCTCCAATTATGTTGTATAATATATTAGAAATTATATAAAATTAAAAATTAAAAATTAAAAAAAAAAAAAGCGGGCTAGCCCGCCAACCGGCGGGCTAGCCCGCCAACCGGCGGGCTAGCCCGTGGCGGAGCGGGCTGAAAGCGGTGCGGGCTGGAGTAGCCCGCACCTTGGCGGGTTGGCATTTTGCCAACCCGAGCCCGCCATTTTTGGCGGGCTGGCGGGCTGGGCCCGCGGGCCCAGCCCGTATTACCAGCTTTAATGAGAGCTCAATCGGGAAAACTGACCCATATTCGGAAGTCATGGAGATTCAGTTGAAAATGTTTTCAGCTAAACATTTTTGCCACTTTGATTTTTAGTGACAGCTTAATTTGAAAAACTTTACGTATACTGCTGAAAATTGTGGAATCTCATTGCGAAGAGTCTTGAATTAGATTTTTTTTTTTAGCGTATTAATTATGGATGTCTAAAAGATAAAAGCCGTATTAAAAAGAACCTTATATACATGCCGGAAATTACGAGAGCTCAATGGGAATAAATTTCAACCAAGATTTTGCCAAGTCAGTATGGGTTTTTAATAAGCCAAAAAAAAGACAAAACATGGGTTTTTAATTGACATTTTTTAAAATTTCGAGAAACCTTCAACGGTCACTATTTTGTTAAGAAGGCCCTAAGGAGCGCGCCCTTTTTGGGCGCGCCCGACGCGAACTGTCATGGATCGTTAAAGAAGTCAGCAAAGAAGCAATAGGCCATAAGTTCTTTTACAAGAAAGTTTCCCTCGTTCTGAAGCTTCGTATGAAACCTAACGAAGCGTTTAGTAAAGAGCGCGCAGTTTTTGGGCGTGCCTAACGCGAACTGTCATGGAGAGGATGTTGCTAGAATCCAGGCAACATCCGCCGTGACAACAGTAAGCTTCATTATCGTCATTTTGAAGGTTCTACTTAAGCATTTCCTTTAACCCAAGAAATCAAATATGCTTCCACTTTCTTCCTTCTTTTAGAGCCAGATAAACAATGCAAGAAACTAGCCGAAGTTTCCTCCCTTCCCGTCGAGACTCCGAATCAGAGTCCCACACCCAAAGAACGAAACTCAACAAACAGAATCTCAAACTCAACTTCATTTGTATCTTCCAGATCAGTCCATCAGGGTTGAGCACTTTGCTCTGATTCCCGCAGGACAGGCTCTGAATGTTTAGAGTGCTCTGGAGTCTTCCAAACTACTGAGGGACTAAGAAGAACAGCTTCATGTGCCCTGACAAATGACCCACAAACAGTTCGGTGGATGTAAGAGAAGATGATGAACGTGAAAAATCACAGCTTCTTTCTGGGGATTCCTCTTTATGGCTCTTTAGAACTTATCGGCAGCAATAGGGAGATTTTTTATTTAAACAAAATTTTGTTGCCGAAAAGGGATATTCGCAGATGCATTATATCTGCTCAACAAAGTCGGCCGGTGAACCAAGTTTTCAGTTTCTCGCGCTTTTGCTGGGGAAATGTGGAGTCAATGAGGAGAGACCTTGTCTCAAAAAATCAGTCGAGGTTGAAATGCTTCAAGAAACCATTTCCTCCAGGCAAGGCTCTGGAGAGTTATTTGACCTCTTTGTGGAATAAAGGGTTGCTTTTAATTAGGGCCTCTGTTTATACAGCTATTATCTTTGGGATATGTCTATTGGCATGGTATGGGCAGGGTAAATCTAAGGGTTTTATTGAAGCTAAACTATTGCCTTCTGTTTGCTCTGCAATCAGTGCACGCATTCAGCGTAGGCTTGAGTTTGGCAAGGTTAGAAGAATCTCACCATTTAGCATTACATTGGAGTCATGTTCAGTTGGGCCACATGAGGAAGAATTTTCTTGCGGTGAGGTTCCCATAGTTCAACTTCGTCTTCATCCTTTTGCAAGTCTAAGGAGGGGAGAGCTGGTTATTGATGCAGTTTTGTCGCGCCCAAGTGTCCTAGTAGTGCAAAAGAAGGACTATACTTGGTTAGGAATTCCATCATCTGAAGGTGGCATGCGGAGGCACTTTTCAACCGAGGAAGGGATTGATCATCGTACCAGAATTAGGAGGCTTGCAAGAAAGGAAGCAGCTTTTCGGTGGGCAAAAGAAAGGGATGAAGCAGCAAGAAAAGCTGCAGAGATGGGTTACATAGTTTCTGAGAGGATTTCTACTCTATCTGAGGGTGATGCTTCGGAGGCGATTGCTGCTCAATCAGCAGAATCAAAGTCCGAATCCGTCTATTGCCTGAATCAGGGGAAGCATGACCGTCATTGCATGGACTCAGGTATTGATTATGACATAAAACATGCGGATTTGGAAAGATCATTTGGTGTGAAATTTCCAAGTTCAGGGCTTCAAGTTCGGCCTAGAGAAATGCAAAGACGTAGGACTCCCAAGTTGAAGAATAAGGTCAACGGGAGTGGTAGTACTGCCTCTGTTGTTGCTATGAAAATAAAGATTCTTGAACGGAGTTCGTTAGCAGCTCATACTTACTTTCAAGGTCAATTACACAAGGAGTCTGTGGAGACTATATCGCCACCAGGTAGTTCTGATTTTGCGAACCAGGATACTTTTCTGGTGAAGAGCGATGTTGAAAATAATGCAAAATATGTTATCAGTGGTGATGAAACAAGAAATGATGATAGAAGAAGAGTAACGGAGGTCGGAGATCATGGTGTTAGGACTCCTTCTCTAAATGCAAATGTTAATGTGCATTCAGATTCTCCAAAACTTGTTCAGGATCCAGTGTTGCAGACAGGAGTTCGTAAGTTTGAAAATTTACAATCTCATGGGGATGTTGCAGAGCCTGCAAATACTTATAGTTATTTGGCCAAAGAGGAGAAGTTGGGACCTCATGTTGCTCATAGTCAAATTAATGTTAAGTCCAAGGGCCAAAGAAATTTGTCATCTGAAGATTCAGTCTTTACGAACCCTAGGCCTCATCTGGAAACATATCTTCAATTTCCAATTGATCTCATTTTTATGAAATTTGGTTCAAACTTATTCTTTAGATCTATGGAGTTCTTATTTTGCTGTCTTTCTGGTTCTATTAAAAAATTCAAGTCTCACATGGGCCTCGAAGTTGAAGATAGTGTTTATGAGCATGTTGGTATGGCTGATTTTCGTCGTTCCGAAGACACAGGGTTTTTTTCAGTTACACTTGATTCTGTTCATATCAGAGATGCTACAGTGATGCTACTTGCATACGGTGACAGGGAAGCTAGGTGAGAGCCACATTTTATCATTTATTAATTGGCTAGTCTGAAGTGATGGGGAACAAACTAGGTCTCCACCACCTCAAAATTTTAAATATTATTTAGGTAATTAGGGGAGTTTAGCTAAATTTATCTTTTTAATGGTATTATAGAGGTAATTAACAAAGCTTTAAGGACGTGGATTGACAGTTAACATGTTTGATAAGATATCCTTATTGGCATTTGAAGAAATTTAATCATGATGTTAACAGAGGCCAGAGGTGTGTAAGATTCATAATCTATTGTAGTATTGTGATTGATAGAAATCAAGGGTCCCTGACTTTGGGTGTTCAAATCCTCGTGACGTAACCACTGTTTTTTCGGTTACTTCTGTGTGCTTCTTTCAAGAATTTATTGTTTAGATCTTCTTTCAGTCCGCGGTTCTCCTTGTATACATCATGTATGCATGGGTTATGCATGTTCTTAGTCTGAGGATTCATAAGAAGATAGCCTTATTTAATTTTTGTTTATCTATTTGGATACATCATTTCTGGTTCTGTTAAACTTATAACGTTTTTATTGAAACTAGTGTAAAGTCTCGGTGCTCTATTTCATGTTGAGCAATGAATTAATTCTTGTAATCTTATCACAACTTGGAGAGTAAACTTCATATTGTATTGTTTCTAGGGCTTGGTCATAATTATAACGGAGAGAAGTAGTTGCATTGGTAGTGCGTAAATCTTATAATTTGTTTTCATTTTCTGAAATCTTATTAAATGTAGAAGTTTTTATTTGTCTTTTTTTTTTAAAGAAATTATTATAGAAATGACAAATACAGCTGCAGACTGCAGTTACTGTTAATTCAACTGCAAAATATTTCACTTAAAATGTTTCCTTTACTACACCAGAGACATTCTTATCTTAGGTCAATCATGTTATTGCAGCGGATTCTCTTGGTGTTGATTTTTATTGCCACTGCTGTAGCTTTAATGAGAACAAACATGTATATTTTATAAAGTTTCTTGTCAAGTATATAATCTTCTTAATAAATGTAAGATAAAAGGTGTATACAATTTTTCTAAGTATGATTTTGTAGATTATAGAGTGTATGCTCAGATTAGTTGCTGCTGTAGTGGTTCCACTTAATAAAAAGATGGTTTATACTTAGAAATAAAGTTCTTATAGTAAAGTGCTGGTCTGCATCAATTCAAGTATCTTCTGCTTTGTATTTTCAGGGAGATAGAAAATGTCAACGGGCACGTGAAGTTCCAAAACTGCTATAGCCGTCTGCATGTTCAACTTGATGGTAATTGTAAGACATGGAGATCAGATATTATGTCTGAAGATGGTGGCTGGTTGTCTGCTAATATCTTTGTGGACACTATTGAACAGCAATGGCATGCTAATGTAAAAATTGATAATCTGTTTGTCTCGGTAAGGTTTAGAGTAATGAAACTTGACCATGTTTCCGCTTTGTCATTTAAATATACGGTTTGCTTATATCAATGTGTCTGGCCTGATATTTGCAGCTATTTGAAAGGATCCTAGAAATTCCAATCACATGGTCTAAGGGGAGGGCCAGCGGTGAGGTGCTTATCTAATTTTAGTTTGAAAGTTCAGTAAAATGGCATCAAGTCATACTTTTAAAAAAAATTTCTTGCCCAAATTGCTATGACAAAATGGAATGTTGCATTTTAATAACTGATGCAGCATTTACTTGTGTGTGCGCGTGTGTGTGTGTGGGGTTTGGAGGATACTTGTGGCTGGTTGCTTTTCCGTGTTCACAACTAAATGGTCACACACATATTATTTATGTGTGACTAGAACGCCCTCAATATAGAAATTAAGTAAAGTTCCATGAATATTTTTTATTATAATATCTGATGCCGTGCAAAAGTCTTCTGGTTTAATGTGTGCACAAGGCACAAGTCTATCATGCCTTGTGAACTGGCAAGAATCAAACTCTTGGCCACTAGATGGTAAAGGCTTTGACACCATGTCTGGGATTATTTCAATCTAGAAGCTTAAGCTAGTAGGTACTGGCGGTGAATAGTTTTACTGATGATTTCTGACAGTTAAGCTTTTTGCAGTGTTTGGCTTGAGGATCATTTAGTGTTTAATTTTTTCTATCTTTTCTTTATAAAATTCTGGTATCCAAAGAAAATAACTTCTGACAGCGCATAATAATGAGGTTAAGAGAGGATGTGATGATAAAGGAATAGCCATGGAGATAAGGGTGGCAGGAAATGAAGGTGGGGAGGCTGACAATGGGATGCAATTGTCAAAAAATTAATTTTATAAATATGATAATAAAATATGGAATTGTTGTTGAATCATTAGGGTCAACGAGTGAAGATGGCAGATTCCCGCTTGCTCTAATTATTAATAATAGAGATACAAATCGAAAAATTGCCTGAATTGGAACCATAAGTTGTTATGACGTAGGCTTAGAGAGCTGACCTGAAAACTTTTGATGAATTATTGTGATATTTTTTGTCCATGAAATGATGGATTTCTTCTTTCGATACTCAAACAAAAATCTCGATATCTGAATAAATTGGTTGGTCCCAACATGATATTTTGGTTCAACTAGGTTATGCTTTAATCTAGTGGATATTTTCCTGTGTTTTGCTTGGAATTGTTGTCTGCATGGCTAAAGCCCTCTGGAGCCTTATCATCTATTCATCTGATTTTTGGCAATTAAACTTCATATTATGATGTCTTTCTTTAATTATTTTCGATTTTATACATCACACTTTCATGGATTGAATTTTCAGCTGACTTTGACAATGCATATATACCTCCTGGAGGTAGATTTGTTGCTTTGGTGTGGTTATGAACTTTTTACAACTATTCCCACAAATAAATAAATCCAGCCATGTGGCCAATTGTTATGGACTAAGCTATATGATCTTTCATATGAACCAACATTTAATCAATATTTTGGAACTATCTAAATCTTATGTTCAGATTGATCTTTTGCATGTATTATACGCAGAATAATAAATGTTAAATTATTCTTTTGGTCCTTATTTTAGGTTCGCCTATGCATGTCGAGAGGTGAAACATTTCCAAACCTTCATGGACGACTTGATTTAACAGGGGCGGATTTCCAATTATCGGATGCTCCATCATGGTTTTCTGTATGTCCTATTTTCATTTGTGTTAGAATGTGTTGCTCTTTCCTTTCCTTTTTTGACATTTGAATTTTCACTTATAAGTTTACTCAATGACTATTTCAAAAGTTGGATTTAATACCTATTTCATTTCCCTCAAGCATGGAATAGATGCATAATTATTGATGCCTGCTATTTCATTCATTTCAGGCATTAGGCCTAAGGCATATTATTTGTTGACTGTATTGACTACATCATTGGGTGAGCTTAAATTATTACTTTTTATTCTGTATTGTGTCTGTTTTGCAGAACATTTCAGCAAGTTTACTTTTTCGTGGTCAAAGAATATTTTTACACAACGCTAGTGGATGGTTTGGAAGCATTCCTCTAGAAGCATCAGGAGATATTGGCATCCATCCTGAGGAAGGAGAAATTCATCTTATGTGCCAGGTATATTTTCTTGTGCACAAGTGCTCTGATAAAATACGATTTATACTTCTCTAACTGTTCATTGGTTTACCTCACCTCTCTTGGAACTTGCTTGTTCAAAGTTAAATGTTGTGGTATAATATTTCACTGGTGATTCCAAGAGTCTTTGTAAAGCTGTATTCTTAAAACGATTCAATTTTCAAATACTATTCAAATATAAGAAACCTGTGTTCTTGTATAGCTCCAAAATTGAGGCTCTTTATGCTTTATTACTCATTAAATTTGCTTTGTATATTTCTCTCAGTGTTATCTCTCCTTTAGGCTCATATTCCGTGCCTTCGTCAATTCATGATGGATAGGCTGAGTTGTTTCATCTATATTTTAATGCTTTGCATCTTGAATGACCAGGTTCCTGTTGTTGAACTAAATGCCTTGATGAGAACTTTTAAGATGAGATCTCTCTTGTTTCCTGTAAGTTTATTGATTTTAGCTCATTAATTTTAAGACCAAGTTCTGTGCTTATGGAATCAGTTTCATCTTCATGCTCTTCAATATCTGCTGATTTTTCAAGTGTATCTTCAACATATGAACTAGACTTATTCTCTTCCGTTTTCAATTTTGATGCGCAGTTCCTGTTCCTGCTACTGGGCTGTTCTTGATATCTAATAATTCAGTTGTTTTTTTAATGTAAAAGACCAGCTGGATGTTTCATTCTTGCTGTCTATTCATGACTTACTAAGAGTGAAATTGTATCAATTTTTTATTTTTTTCCCCCAAAAAAAAAAGTTATATTAATCAATATCAATCCCTGCATCTCTTCTTTCTATATAAACGGTTTATTGATTTCAGCTGGC